CGACGCTCGTAGATGGTGGATGATGATCCGAGAAAGTAATCCAGACTTGACTTGGGTCAGATTTTTGGAGCTGTTCTATGACAAGCACTTCCCACTCAGTATCCGGGATCGCAAGACTACAGAATTTTAGATGTTGACACAGGGTAGCAAAACAGTGGCAGAGTATGATCGTGCTTTCACCGAGTTGGCAAGGTATGCACCTCACATGGTCGACAATGAATACAGAAAAGCTAGGAAGTTTGAGAGTGGACTTCGAGGGCCAATACAAGACCAGGTTAATTTGCTCAACATGCCGACGTATGCTGGAGTGTTAGATAAAGCCATCCTTGCAGAAGCCAACCTGAACAGAAGTCAAAGTTCAGGGAAGAATCGGAGGAAGAGGCAGACCTATGATAGTCGCGAAGAAGAGGCAGACCCGAATGACGCCGAGGAGAAGACAAAGGACGATAGTCCCAACAACATAAATCAGGAGGGTGGCACTAGGCCGACATGTACAAGTTGCAAGAAGCGACATTTTGTAGTTTGTCATTGGGCATCGGGGGCTTGCTTTGAATGTGGCGAGATGGGTCACCGTGTGAAGGACTGTCCAAGGGTAAAGGCTAGAAAAGATAAGAAGAGCTGAGAACCCGACGCTCGGAAATTGTTTTGGGAACATGGTAGGCTAAGTTTGGAGGACCAAACTTCTTTAAGGGGGGAAGGATGTAACAACCCACATTTTATGTCCTAGTCATGTTTGCATACATTTGTATGTTTTTCCATGTTAAGATGCTGTAACAACCCATATTTATGTCTTAGTCATGTTCATGAGCATTTGTATGTTTATGACTTGTTTTGCCTAAGTAAGATCCATGCCTTGTTTTGATGTCTATGTGATTTGTCTAAGTGTTGTGTGCTTGCTTTGTTCCTTCCTTGGTACCCCAAGCCTAAGTTATGTTTAGCCAAAGTCATGCCAAGCCTAGGTTATGTTACGCCTAGATCAGTCCAAGCCGAGGTCATCGTCAGTCTGAAAGTATCTTGGAACCACTTTGCTTGACCTCCACCTTCGCCCTGGCATATTGGCCGAGATGTCATTATCTAGGCCGAGGTGTGAATCACCAAGGCCGAGATGTGTATCATCTAGGCCGAGATGTTAACTTTGCACCTGAGTGATCTTGTCTTGGAGTGGTATGACCTAGACCGAGGTGTGGCACATCTAGGCCAAGGTGTGGCACAGCTTAGTCAAGTGTTATCCTTCCTAGCCGAGGTCATTGTCATCTTAGTTGCCGAAGCTTTGTCCTTAGCCGATGTCATCACTTGCCGGAGTGCCTTACCAAGTAGCTTGTTAGATACGCTTTGTCATAGTCCTGTCTTGTCAATCTATCACCTTTTTGAAGAGAGCCAACCAGCCGTTGCCACATGTCCAAGCTGAGTGTTAAGTCAGCCGATAGAGAGAGGAAACCTATCATTTGTCATATCTTTGTTTTGAAGAGGAGAGAGAAGCTCTAGAGGAGGGAGAGGAGTTCTTGGGAGGAGATAGATTTCCAAGCTCGATCCCTAGAGATCGAACCGTTAGATCCGTGTTCTAAGGACTTGGACCTTTGCCTTGATCCCGGCGTCCCAAGAACTATGTGAGTGGTATTATTAATAAAGTTATGTTCTTAAGGTTTTGATAAAGCTTTGCCTTGTTTTGATAAAAGTATTTGTTAAGCATGAATGATATCCCTATTTTATGTATCATGTATAAGCTTCGTTTTGGATGATAAGTTTGGAAGTCCGTGCGTGCTAGGGGACTATAAGCATTCGTAGCACAAAGTTTGGAAGTCCGTGCGTGCTAGGGGACTATAAGCATTCGTAGCACAAAGTTTGGAAGTCCGTACGTACTAGGGGACTATAAGCATTTGTAGCACATATGTGAAGTCCGTACGTGCTAGGGGACTATAAGCATTTGTAGCACACATGTGAAGTTCGTACGTACTAGGGGACTATAAGCATTCGTAGCACACATGTGAAGTCCGTACGTGCCAAGGGACTATAAGCTTTTGTGGCACCTTTGTTGTTTTGTCCGGAATGTCATCACTCCATGTATTATGTAGATGTTATTAAACATCCCAAGAAGATTTGAAAGACCAAGATTTGATTGATGAACTTGATCCATCCCATGTTTTGAACAAGCTATGATATATGTATTGTTTTGAAAAGACCTCGGGAATCATTCATTTAACCCCTTTATTACTTGTACCATTCACTGAGTATCCAAGCTCACCCTCCCTATGTATATATGTAGGTAACAAGCAAGAAGTCGGCTATGCCGAAATATGTGTTTTGTATGCATGTTATGTCAGCTGTAAGGATGTCGGCAATCCTGAAGATTATGTTTCATGATTTGTAGCTCAAGTGTTTTTGTTTATGTCGGCAATCTTGAAGTTTATGTATTTTGAACATGTCGGCTCGAGAAGCCTTTTATCAAGATGTAATATGTATTTTTGTACCTCATTTTATTTGTATTCAAGTTGCAAAGCTATGTAAAGATGTATGCCATTCCATTTGACTTATGCACTGCTCTTATGGACCACTTGTATTTTGAATTAATGTTTCCGCACTTGTGAGCCCCATAAATTTATACTCTGATTGTGTGTGAATTTTGAAAGTTGGCCTTCGGTAATCTCGGATTACTGGCCATCACGGCACCAAACTACTAGGGGCGGTTTGGGGTCGTGACAAGACCAGTAGTCTGATAACGTTCTCTCAAAAAATCCCAAATGTCTTTGGCAGGAGTAGTCACAGAGTCTAGTTGAAAACGACCAAATTGTAAACTGATAGAGGTAACTGAGGTATTCCGAAGCCAAGTGATGATCTGGTAATTCTTACTATCCCAGTTCTCTAAACGGTCTGCATATGTGGCAGTTGTTTCATGAACCTCTTTCACTGGTTGAACCACAACCCCAGTGATAATGCGCTAAAGTTTGTTCCCTTTCAGAAAACCGAACATGGCTTGGGCCCATAACACATAGTTGGAGCCTTCAAGGATAACAGAGATTGGATGAGAAGTATCATGATGATCCATAATGGTGGTCTGGTGAAGTAAAATAGTGAAAACAGTGCTATAGGAGCAAAAATCAACAAAACAGAGCGTACCAGTGAGTCTGGAAGGTCAAAAACAGCTGGAAAAGAGGTCTAGTGTGCAGAGATGACGTCAGCAGGGCCTGGATAACGTCAGTAGGTGCGCGGCTCACGTTAGCAGGGGGTGCACGACGCACGATAGCAGCAAAGGCGTTAGTAGAGGGGCGGTGCACTTTAGCAGGAGGAGACGCGGCGCACGATAGCAGCAAGAGTGCAACGTATGGGAGTGATGACGTTGATGCGCTGAGGACTGATGTCAGCGACAAGTAGAACAGAGGGACGCGCGCATGATAGACGCGTAGTGTGTAATCGTCTGACAACCGGCGTGTGGTACTGCGTGGAGAGACTGGTGGCGTCGTGAATGACGCACCGAGTAATAAGAGGCGCGTGAGGGTGCGTATAATGTTGTTTTGGTGCGTGGTTGGTGGCGCTGGAATCGTCTGGAAGAGAGGAGTATGATGGTGTCGCAGTTTTGTGTTTACGGCCACTGGAAACGGTGAAGCAGTGCGGGAACAAATAGAATAAAATGTATTGGGGATGGAATAAATGCTGTAGTGCCACTGTGTACAGGACTATAAAAAAAAAGCTATAAGTATAGAATCTAGAGCTCTGATACCGTGTTAGAATAATGTATCTGTATTATTGTATGAATAATAATACAATAGGAGAGCCTGTATTTATAGGCTGAGCACAAAAGATAAGTATAGAAGGAGATAGAGATAGAGAGAGATAGAGATACAATGAAATAGAGATAGAGATAGAGAAAGATAAAGATAAGATAGAGATAGAGATACAATGAGATAAATATAAATATATACATTAACATTTTCAATCCAAGCAATTGTTTGAACTTTGTATGTGAGAGATATCTACATTTGATTCTTCGCTTTTTGAAAAAAAAAGAAGGGGCCAAATTGCTTGTTTAGAAGAACAACAGAGTAAGGAAATGCATTTAGGGGCGAGAATATGTGCTAAGAAAAAGAAAGATAATGAAAGGAGAAAACACCAGAGATGAGCTCTTATCACATCTGTCAAGTTTCAACTCTGTTGCAGGTGCAAAATTCCAAACAAAGGGCATCAGATCTATTTTCAATGACCTCGGGAGTACTAAATTTTCTTGTCTAACTATTACTTTGATCTATCATTTGTGTATATATCTTGTGAACTTATGTTAATGTGGTCCTTCATTCACAGAATTTCAACATGAAGGAAAACCAAATTCTTATCAAGATGATCACTACAAGAATTAACACTTTTGGCAACAAAAAAATTAGTCGCTAAAAGTCAATTTTTGGTCGGCAAAAGTTATCCGCGACCAATTTTTTTGGTCGCTACTTTGGTCGCCAATTGAGGGTCGGCAAAAGTAATTCGCGACCAAAATTGTGGTTGGTCGGCAAAAGTTGAATTTCGCGACTAAATTTTTGGTCGCTAAATATTTAATTACTGCGACTAATTTATTTTGTCGCCAAAACACTTTGGTCGCAAAAAGTGATATTTTTCCGACCAAAAAGTTTGGTCGCCAATTATCACATTCAACGACCAAAAATTTTGGTCGCCAATCATGACATTCCGCGACCAAAAAATTTTGGTCGCCAATCGTGACATTCCGTGACCAAAAAATTTGGTCGTCAATTGTGACATTCCACGACCAAAAAAGGTTTTGGTCGCCATTTGTTACTTTTCGCGACCAAAACTTTTGGTCGGCAAAAGTGAGTTTCCACGACCAAGAGCTGTTTTGGTCGGCAATAGATGTATTTTTTGCGACCAAAACTCTTGGTCGGCAATTGTCATTTTTTGCGAAAAAAAATAATTTATTTGTCGCAACTAATAAATTGGTCGCCAAAGCAGGAAAACAATACACCTGTAATTCCTAATAATTCATTCAACCCATAATAAACCTATAATTTTAAAGCATCATTCAAATTAACTGAATCATTAACATTCGACACAATACAACTATTCTAAGTTTTCATTCACAAGTCACATACATCTAGCACAACAAATTGAAACAATACATAATTCAGATTTATAGCATCAGGAAAATTGCTTAATCCACTAAGTTGCCTTGATAGCCAATCAAAAAGATCCTTGCGCCCTTCCGTGCCAAGCTTCGCATCCATCAAAGCATTAGTGATGTAAGGCACCTAATAAAGAAACAGAATTGGAAAATTTATCAGAGAAGCATGATAGTGGCAGCAACACTGGATTGCAAACCCGTATCTTTGCAAAAATCAATTAAATCCTATAAACATGTACATCGTATTGAGACAACTAGCTGGCATAATAAAACTGTACATGTTGCTGTACCTACAAATTTCAGTACACGATGATTAATAAGCTAATAGCCATAACAAATACAGGCATAGTTAACTATCAAAGCTCCATATTGATTCAGTTCACTTTTATATATGATTTTTTAATAAAGTTGGTAAAATTTATTTTAACGAATAATACCACAGATTAATTAAAACATGAATGATTCTGATGTTCTTAGCTTTAGATTAAACTTTGGGTTGTAGATGAGCAGCTTGAGCAGACATTCAATCAGCACTGATGATCAAGGCCCCTAATCTAAGTAATCACACACAAGATTAACGTGTACCAAAAAAAAATATAAATTTGTAGTTCACATAAATAAGGTGGCATCACATTTGTGCCTCCTTTCCGTTCTCTTTCCCAAGACATCAAGGGAAAGCATATTCATCCATTCTGCTACCCTACCTACCAGATATGATATGAATGAAGGGCAATAGAAAAATGAGGTGATCTTGAATATGTGCTTATGATCAGATGCAGAATGAAGGGAATTCTTACAAAGATGTAATTTTCTCTTGTTGTAAAATTGGGAGAAGAATTATATACTATTTGTGAACAAAATTCAAGACTCTTTGTCATATAAATGAGCTGTGATTTGTCCTTTTCGTGCCTTCACAGAGAAAAAAATTAACAGCAATAACAATAACAAGATGGAAAAACATTGATTCGGGCAGTAGTTCATTTAGCCGAGATGCAGCCCTCAACACTAGAAATGCATAGATAACAACTGTATGACCTTCAGAGATTGGCCTTAAACTGATGTGGGCATGGCTTCTCATTTTATAGAAATAAAAAATACAACGCATGATATGTAGGCCAAAAAAACCAAAAGAAAACAAAGTAGGAAGAATTTAACAGCAAAACAAGAAAATTTCCAAACACAAAACATGCATTATAAGTACCTCTGCATGCACAGCTACTAGTGTATGCAGTAACTCTACAGCAGCATCTCGCACACCCTGCAAAGTATTAGCAATTTGACTAATTGTTGAGATAAAAGAGTGTGCACCAGAGAAGGCGTTCAAAGAAGAAAAGAACCGATAATTAATTTATCACCTTGACTGCAGGTGCTCCCCCCAATTGAACTCCTGAATCCAATAAATAGTTCATGGCCGCTGTTCTAATCAAATTTGCCAACCGAAAAAAGGTAAGAATGCTGAGTTAGAAGGGGAATACTGAGCTGGAAGGTCCATATATTTAGGGAGGTCACAGTAACAAAGCCTGTCTCTGGTTTTCTGTAGGGCAGAACTCTGTAGAAGTAAACATCAAACAACAGAGAGGTTGCAAATGTGAATTCTTTGTGTAATAGTTCATTTCAAAAACAAACAAACAAACAAAAAAAATCAAAGATCTACTCCTCAAAATCACCAATCCTTCTCTTGACAACCGGCAGTGCTTCCTTTATAATTTTAAAACAAAGCTGGAGGCAAATTGTAAACTAAAAGGAAAAAAGGGGTGAAAATATTAAATTTAAGAACTCTAATAGAAACTCAGTATTGAGGCAAGTAGCCTAACAGTAAATTTAGGAAAATATTATCCACCACAACTATCTGCATGAAAGATTTAGACGAGCTTATTTAGACCATATAATTTTATCATTTGACTTAGCAGTAATTTCACAAAGGAAATTCCAGAGGATGGCCAACTCAATTTTCCACCCAAATGAGAATAAATTTAGAACAAAGCCTATTTAATGCAGAAAGCAAGACAAGATAGGAGAAAATAACTAAAATATTTGGTTGCTTAGCAAGGGTCTAGAGAGTGCCGTGTTGACAGACAGAGCTAGCTTATGTTAAGTATGAGTAAAAGGACAAACGAGAATAATCAACTAAAAGACCGACACTAAGGGATATGAATGCACCAAGTTTGGTTACTGTTCACATTTATGTCCATTTAAAAATTGGACGACGATGGTGACTACTGACTAAGTGACCGGACATTTTATAGGTGAGCAATAACCGATATAATCAGGTAACAGTAATTTGTGGGGGTAAATTCCAAATATGAAAGACAAAGTGACAAAAAGATACGTTGATTGGGATCATACTGTCCCTTGGGATTTGTTGCACCAAAGACAATTGTCCTAGTACTGAGAGTTGTCACAAGACCAGCCTGAAAAAAGCAAATGATATCCAGGAGTCATGTTTCCATGAGTAAAAAAAGCTCAATTCAAAAATCAAAACTTAAAAGACAGCTAACAGTGTTCTAACTCCACAACTTGTCCTATAATCACATGCATATTGATGTTAGATGTGATTGAAACTTAATTCACACAATCAAGTGGATTTTCAAAACAACCAATATGGATCAACCATAAGGAAAATCCTACAAGTACATGCCACATTCCGTTCTAGTGCAATTTTGGTCAATATTGTACCCAGTGTGAATTTGAATTGGCATGCACGTGAAATTTGGTATTTCCTTGGGACACTGTTCTTTAATGTGAAGGGCAATAGAAATTTTTAGCCTATATACAGAAAGAAACAAGTACTTGTGTTTAAGAGTAGATTGGTATTCATTCAAGACCAACACTAAAAAAACAACGCCCAATTAGTCTGTTTAGGAGGGGAAAGATTGGGTACACACCTAACCTTTGGCATAGTGCACAACGATTAGGTTACTTGTTTTCATCTAGATGTCTGTGAACAGAAAATAGCCTTTGCTCAAGTTAGTCATCCGATTTAAATATATATGTACTGTAGCCCAAAAGCAGACATAATTTTACAATACTTTGCACAAGATAACTTAGCAGTATTACTCCCTCTAGCATATTGTACTTCTAATAAGTAATCATAATACCAAAACCAGGAGGTATTAAGAAAGTATTTCAGGTTCAATGTTCTAAGAAAGTATTAAGGAAGCAATGACCATGGGTGGGGCAGTGTAGTTAATAATGATCGACTATATTCACGATTTCTTTGCTTTTGAATTGTTCAAATTTATGCCACAGGAAGCACGCAAGAATTTACTTATAAAATATCAAGTATATTATATATGAAAAGAAAAAGGTCAGCTGGATCACCAAGCAGAAGCAAATGAGACTCTCCTCGAACTTTCGTCCCAGAAGCATCAGCATGTTACACACCTCCAATAAGTGTTAATGCAACTGGATTGATGGAAAATCATCACTAAATATAGTTATTTTTATGTCCAAAACTGAAGCACACAATGCAATGGCAACCTTAGAAGTTAAGTGAAAAGGGACAAATTAAAATGGGATGATAAAACACCTGCAAGCTTTACAGTGAAGAGTCCAAAAATCTGTGGGCATATACCTCGCAGAATGGCATTCCTCCCTGTGGTGACGTTGACGTGTTAGGCAAAACTAGAAAAGTAGAACAGCAACCTAAACAACTTGGTGCAGAAGCAAATAGAATCCAAACATAGATATATGTATGTGTATAAATATATATAACCAGAACTTCTTGAATTTTATAAGATGTTTTTACCTTTTAAAGGTGTATCTTTGAAATTCAACCAGAAGTTCTTGAATTGATTAATAACGTCATCAGGAACATCAATGTCTGTCTTCAACTCCTTAATTCTCCTAAAAATGAAAATAATTCATTTAAAAGCAAATATTGGGGAAAGGACAAATCACTTATTTCAAGTATTCAACCTGATTAGAATTATGAACCTATGACTGCAATTCACAAAGTAAGCTTGCAATAGGGTGAAGGCACCGAAGTACGCTTCAAGCTTTTAAAGCAAAGTATTAAGAAATAAAATGCAATCGAGTTACTTCTGGCCAGAACCAAGAACACATATCATTATGAAACATGAATAAAGGGATTAAATTATTAATAATAAAATAGCAAATATTCATCATTATCAAGATAATTGAGAGGCTCAGACTCCAATAGTTAATTATGGGTGCCATATACCTGCCTTAGTTCTGGAATAAAAATGTAAAATCAGGTTTAAGTTATTGCTGCCTACATAAGTACATATATATTATCTATCTCCCTAAATGCACCATATTATATTGTGCATCAGCTGCTACTGATGAAAAGAGGAGGACAAGTGATCTACTCAGGACCACTGGGACGGAATTCTCGTAAGATTATTGAATATTTTGAGGTATTTCACATTCTTGAACTGTTTCTTTTCTTTTTTTAACATATAAAAAGACAAATACAAATAATTCAACCATTTATACTTGTTTCAGGCAATTCCTGGAATTCCCAAAATTAAAGAAAAATACAATCCAGCAACATGAATGCTAGAAGCAAGCTCAGTTGCTGCAGAAGTCCGGCTTGGAATTGATTTTGCCGAACACTACAAATCATCATCGTTGCATCAGTAAGTTAAAAGTTCAATTATAGCAACAAAAGTGTTTTATTGGTTTTAAAATCAACAGGGTTCAAACTAATACATGCGTATGAACAGACGAAACAAAGCTCTAGTGAAAGAGTTGAGTGTACCTCCACCGGGAACAAAAGACCTCTATTTCACATCACAATTTTCTCAGCCCAATTTGGGGCAATTCCAATACTGCCTATGGAAGCTGTGGTTGACTTATTGGAGAAGCCCAGATTACAACCTCGTGAGGATGTTCTTCACCTTAGCCTGCGGCCCTTATGGTTGGATCAATTTTCTGGCAGGTTGGCAAAAAAAGGTATGCATCTAATTCTTACAAAATTCAAATCTATGTCTCAGTCCATTGGTAACAAGACTCAAAAGTCATTGCTAATTCCTTGTCTACAATTTATTTGATTCAGGGATAACACGGGTGATTTGACCACGATCATAGGGGCAATGTATGCTGCTGTCCTGTTTGTTGGAATTAATAACTGCCAGACAGTACAACCGGTAGTAGCTATTGAAAGAACCATATTTTATAGAGAAAAAGCTGCTGGCATGTATTTTGCATTACCATATGCCATGGCACAAGTGAGAATTTTCAAATTTAACATCAAATGAGAGATTGAAAATGCAGATCGTGAAGCTTGCATTCTATCTTTGCATCTGTGAGCTCACTTCTTTTAAATTAGATATTAGATTGCTATATCTTTACATTAGATTGAAAATTTTGTTCGTGAGCATTATACATCAAATGGCTACCTGAGCTTGGGTATGGATCAATTTTTGCAATTTTTTTCAATCCTAATCTTAGAGTTAATTGTTATCTGATATGCAGGTAATCACTGGATTACCATTCGTGCTTGTTCAAACCATCTTTTTCAGTCTTATAGTGTATTCTATGGTGGGCTTCAAATGGGCAGTGCATAAATTCTTTTGGTTCTTTTCTCTACTATATCTCTTTTCTCTACTTCACATACTATGGAATGATGACTGTTTCCATCACACCAAACCACCAAGTAACATCTATTTTGGCAGCCACTTTCTATGCACTCTTCAATCTTTTCTCGGGTTTCTTCATCCCTAGACCGGTAATTTCATTTTCCTCAGAAGCAGTTTTTTTTTTATTTAAAAAAAAAACATTTTAACATAGTTTAATTATTTTTTTTCTTTTGGTATTGAAAATTCAGAAAATTCCGAAGTGGTAGATATGGTATTACTGGATTTGCCAGCTTGCATGGACAGTTTACGGGTTAATTGTGTCACAGTATGGTGATGTGACGGACCCCATTACAGTTCCCGGGATGAAAAATTCCACTACTGTCCAATGGTACGTGAAAAATAATTTCGGGTATGAACCAAACTTCATTGGACCAGTTGCTGGAGTTTTGGTTGGTTTTGCAGTGTTCTTTGCCTTCATGAATGCCTACTACTGTATTAAAACTTTGAACTTCCAAATGAGGTAGAAGATACTATTGAGTCAAATTGCCCCTTGTGGATTTGTATTTGGATTCATCCAAGCTTTGAAATTTGTAGCAGATTGGATTATATCGGAATTCATATTTTAGGATAAAAATGGTTCTTTAGCAAGTTGTATACTTACCACCTAGTAGATATCAGGGATATATTGATAAGTTTCGAGGACCATATATATGTATAGTCATTGGATCCTATTGATATAAGGGAATAAATTGCTTTCTTTGTGGACCATTAAAATATTTATTAGCTCAGCCAACTTCAAGCTACATCGTCAAATGGTTTTTGTTTCTTGTTTAGTGTTTTATTTATTTATTTATTTACTAATTTATGTCTTGTATATAGTAGTAACACAGTTTCTTTAAAACTCCAACTTCACGAGATTTCCAAAGTCTGCAATCAAGATGAATCAAGAAAACAAACTAAATTTCAAGCACTAATGAACAAGAGATATCAACCACCAGCCAATTTGGTGAGGTCTCCTATTGGATTATCAACCTAATGCGAATGGCTCAAGTCCTTTTGTTGAATAGTGAAGAAGAAGAATATAAAAGACGCACAATGCAGAGACCTTGGTCTGAGCAAAGCAGAACTTAAAGTGACTTAATCTGATGAGTTTAGAAGAGTACAGGGTTTCTAGGAAGATGAGGTTGTTAAAAACTGAGAGGGACGTGTAAAAGCACTCATTTCTATTAATTTGTGGTTGTTCTTCATATTAACGGGCAAAGCTAAGACTAAGATCTAAAACCCCCAATCAACAAACATTGGGTGTTTTGGGAAGATGGTTAAAAACTGGCTTTTTGACTTTTTTTTGTGAGAGAGGAAGTGGGTTAAAAATTGAGAAGTGGCTTTTAACCCACTTCCCAAAGCTTTCACTGAGTTGTAATCAACTGTCAATCTTCGTTTCTTAAACTGTAAGCCATCATTTTTGCAGCACCTTCATTTGAACCAAATTCCTCTGAAGGAAATCAAGTCTTAGTTACACAAATTCAAACCATAAACAACCAAATGGGTAGGTTTGAAAAACCCAATTTGTTTCCTCATGAGCACTAGTAATTGCTAGCAGTATATGAAAGGAAAATATGCAAATGAGTTTAACAAGCATTTTTACAAACAGTATATGTGCACAAAACGTACAACACATATATACAGCAAATTTGTCTTAGAATGAACTGGGTTTTGCAATTGGAATGTTAAATGCTACATCTCATTGAATCAAGCCCAAACACCAGAATTGATAATGCAAGATCATAGAAAGATCACCAAAACCATGTGGAAAAAGGTTTTGACCATTGTACTAATTGATAATATCGACAACGAAGAGTTGCTACCTGGTGGTACGTGTTCTGTCTTGAGCATGGCGAGCAATCTTTTCTTCAACACTCTAAAACATACTAAGGACTTCAAATACCATCTATGAAGGATAAAAAAAAAAAAGTTCTGGACAGAAATTATGAGATTGAGTCTCACCTCACGGCGCTGAACAGTACCCCTATATCCAGTAGCTTGGCAGAATCTCCTCACATCATTTTTGAAATAAAAAGAAAACTTGTTTTTGGTTAGTGAGAGTGTAATTTGAAATAAAATAAACAAATAAATAAAATCAAGATAGGAGAAGATGAGAGCAGACAGCTTTCCATTTTTGTAAAAAAACACTAATAGATGCAATCATTATCCCTTTGCTCTGTTTCTCGGCAACCAAACAAATGTTAAATAAGCAAGATCGACATAAAACACCAATTAAAGTTTAAGGACCAGAGCTTCGACGGGCAGCTTTCAAGCAAGAACAAATCACAAAATCCCCAAATTTCAGAATAAATTTAGAACAAATCAAACCCAAATTAACTAAAGAAGTTAATTTTTTTAACCATTTCCACATTACACAGAAACACAGTAGTCAAGCCATTAACTAAACAGACCCATTAATTAAGCAAAACAAAACAAATCAATTTTCTGGTTAATTAAACAGACCCATTTTTTATGGTTAACTTAACAAAAAAATAATTCACAGACCCATTAACTAAACAAAACAAATCAATTTTCTGGTTAACTAAACAAAAAAATAATTGACAGACCCCTTATCAGTATTTATGCAAGGCCTTATCATATTCATTTTTTATGGTTAACTAAACAAAAATAACAACAGAGATTCATTTTTTTTTTTTGTTGTTCACAGACCCATTAATTCCTTTCCTTTTCACAAAGCCAAAATCCAAACGCATCTAAAGTTCCAAAACATAGCAAATATGAGAAGGGAAAGGAGAAATCTATCCTAATTTATACAATAAAGGTTGCTGGTGTTGCTGGCACTTATATATAAATTATTAGAGCATATATATATATATAATATTAACTCCTGTTTAATGCAAATCGATCGATCGTCGTTCGATTAACTTCTATTTAATCGATTGATCGTCTAGAGAGAGAGAGAGAAAGAGACCTCACTGTAGATCGATCGTCGTTCAATGCAAATCGATCGCCGTTCAGAAGTGTAGATCGTCGGTCAGAGGTTCAGTGTGTAGATCGTCGCTCATCACTGTGTAGATCGTCGGATGTGTTGGGTTCACTGTGTAGATCGTCGGATGGTAGGGTAAAGAGACAGAGAGAGAGAGAGAAAGAGAGAGAGAGAGAAAGAGACCTCACTGTAGATCGATCGTCGTTCAATGCAAATCGATCGCCGTTCAGAAGTGTAGATCGTCGGTCAGAGGTTCAGTGTGTAGATCGTCGCTCATCACTGTGTAGATCGTCGGATGTGTTGGGTTCACTGTGTAGATCGTCGGATGGTAGGGTAAAGAGAGAGAGAGAGAGAGAGAGAGAGAGAGAGAGAGAGA